CAGCAAAATCCAAAATGTGTGAAGTTCTCTCAGGTAAATGATACACTTCTCTCAATAAACAAGTTGCTTTTATTACTTGGCTCTAAGAGAAGTACTTGGGTTTCTCTGGGGAGAACAAACTTCAGAGTAGCAAAAATGAAAGCACATAGATCTGTTGGGAGGCTATCACATTAATCTATGCAAGAGATGATGGTGGCTTAGACCAGGATTTTAGTGGATGAGAAGTGATCAGATTTGAATGTATGTTGAAGTTAAAGCCAACAGGATTTGCTGATGGATTGTATGTAAAATATGAGAGAAAAACATAGAGCCAATGGTGATCCAAGGACTTTTCCCTGAATCACTGGAGTTGCCATTAACTGACATAGGATGACTGTAGGAAAAGTAGGTTTCAGAAGGAAAATCAGAAGTTCAGTTCTGGTTGAGGTAAGTTGAGATGTCTGTTAGACACCCAGGTGGCAGTCAGCTGGAAATACCAGCCAAGAGTTCACAGGTGAGTTCTGGGTAGGAGATATAAATTTGGTAGTCTTCAAGGTATATAAATATTTTAAACCATTAGAATAAATTAGAGTGAGTGAGTGACTGTAGATAAGAAAAGAAGAGATCTGTTGCTTCAAAAATATTGTGGAACAAACCACCCCAAACAACAATCATTTATTCTCATGGATCTGTGGTTGAGTAAAGCTTGGTTGATCTAGCCTGGGCTTAACCATGGTGGTTTGGTTCTGCTTCACACATCTCTCATCCTTTTCCCACAACCAGTGGACTAATCCAGGTATTTTTTATGAATGGCAATGTCAGAGGCACAGAAAGAAAGCAGAAACATATAAGGCCTTTTTAGGAATCAGCTCAGAGCTACCACAGCATCACTTCCTCCTTGTTGTACTGGCCAAGGCAAGTCATATACTGAACCCAAAGTCAAGGATCAACAAAATTATAAGGCAAAGGCAACCATATAGGTAAAGGTAAGAAATTGGAATTCAATAATGCAATCTGTCATGTGTACAAGGACTGAGTCTGGGGCTCAGGATTTTAACTTTAAGAGGCCAAGTTTGAATCCTACACCTACCCTGCTTCCCACATCTAACTGGGGACTGCACATAAAGATTATGGTAAATACAATCTTAACCATTGCTCTCCCTTGCCTAAAGGAAATGTATTGCCAGTACTTCTTTGATTCCTGTCAAAGGAATGAAAACATTTCTGTGTATTAGTAGTATTACAAAGAAAGTCTGTGGTAAGGTAGTCCAAGACATCAAAGTGTGCCATCTATCAGTCCACAGGGAAAGTGAAATAAAACAAAACACAAAACACCTTGAAGAAGAAAATGATAAGGAGACTTCTGCATCTGAAATTGGAAAAACAAAGTTTCATCCTCAACAGTAGCGTCTGATAAGGAACTAACATGAATACATGAAGTCTCATCAAACAGACATTGTAAGTTCAGCACTAAACAGCAAGTTCTAATTTTAAATAGACCATAACCAGTAATTTTTTTCAAGCAGCTAAGATGCAAAGTATGCATTTTACTCAGTTTTTTGTTTAGAAACAGACTTTTTTTTTTTTTTTACTGGGACAACTACTCTATAAATATATAATTACATTTCCAGGCTTTTGAATTTCTTTAGAAGTAAGGACATCAAAGGAACAATTCTTTTTCAGTATATAATCTGCTGTTATCAGCTTAGGCTAGAAGACTGGATTTTTGAAAAATAATGAATCAGATAACATAGTACATTTATTTGTACACTATCTTATATTTTAAGCTGCTTTTGCTAGATCTACAGATTTTTGGAGCTCAAGGGGCCTCAGAGATGATAATCACCTAATCTTATAGATGAAATAACAATGGCTCAGAGAGGCTAACCTGATTCTTCAGACAATGAAAGAATTGGATCATGTAAATTGTAACCCAGTGGTAGCACAAAGGGGTAGTCATGGGGGTGCTCTACTCTGACCTCCACTCTATCCATGCTGTAGTCTCCAGTCATCCCCCATGGCTCTCTTCCTCCAGTAAATGATCTAGTAAACACTGTGATTCACTGCACACCCAAAGCTTAGGAACAAGTTCCCCCAGGCACGCCATCTCCCTACACAGTCTGAGGTGGAAATCCTAGAGTGGCCACTCTCCATTTTCAAGAATAACTGTTCTTTATTATTATGGGCTGAATGCTATGTTCCCCAAAATTCATATGTTGAAACCCTACCCACTAATGTGATGCTATTAGGAGGTGGGGTCTTTGGGAGCTAATTGGGATTAGATGAGGTCATGAGGGTGGAGCCTTCATGAAGGAGATTAATATCTTTATAAGAGTGCTGAGTGTAAAGACAGCATGCTTCCTCTCTCTCCACGATTTGAGTATACGACAAAAAGTCAGCCATCTGCAACCTGAAAGAGGGTCCACACCAAAATCTGACCATGCTAGCACCCTGATCTTAGACTTCCAGCCTCCACAAGTGTAAAAAATAAATTTCTCTTGTTTATAAGCCACACAGTCCATGACATTGTGTTATAGCTGCTTGAAGAAACTAAGATATTCACCATCACCAGTGTCTAGAGTTTTATGGGGCTTTAAGAACAGGATTTGTTGGCATCCTGTTGTTTCTTTTATTCCCTTTATTTTATCTTCATGTGTCTCTCTCTACCTGACTTCCATGTAGGGCCAGATTTTGGAGATAGTGTTTATGTACATCTGTGGGAAACAGTACATCTCTTCGTCCCTGTAGGCATTAACTAGTTGGCCTATTTAAGCTTAATTTCTTCTTGGGAGTTTAGCTAATTATTCCTTTTTTTTTTTTTCTTTTTTTTTGGCCAATGTCTTTTCCAGCAGTTACAACTCATAGCCTTCCAAAGTCCTTTCTGGGACTGAATATGGTGCTTTTCCCTCTTTTATCTTAGGGAACCCTGTGAAGTTCAGGAAATGATTACTTTGTATACTTGCTCTTAAACAATATCTAAAACTTAATATAGTTGTTAAGTTTTAACATGGTCTAACTCAGCCTCTTATTAATGTTCTCAAAGGTAAAGAAAGCCAGACACTTGGTTAAAGTGATAAGGACAGATTTTGATCAGTAAAACACTATTGAAATAAGGAAGAGAGTCCAATGTGAGCTGCATTCAACTTCCTTTTGTACAGAAGTGACTGGGCATTTTAAAGAGAGAGTGAAGAAGTAGGGAGGGGGCTGAGTGGGGCCTCAATAGAGTCAGGGAAGTGAAAATTTACAAATGGCTGGTCAGTGTAAATGCAATTAGGCCAGCTATGTCTGTTAGCTGTCCTCCCTCAGAGACTGGGAGATAGAGGCCCTTTCCTTCCTCTGACTACATTTTAAAAGAATGGCTTTCAGGTCCCTGAGAAAGACACTCGTGTGTTGCAGGAGATACATCTCCCTCTCAAAGAGACAGGGGAAGGATTCACAATTGTGACCCCTTTGTAGTAAATGCTCTAAGAAAGGGAGGTGTGGACCTATCCTATGGAATTGGCTACAACAAACAGTAAATTCTTTGGGCAGCCTGGAGCTTTCTCAGGCAAACACTTTAAGGGAGTGTCTAGGGTCATCCTGGGGAAGCGATTGTGAGCTGTTAGAAGCTACTTAGTGTTTAAGTCTTTTAATGTGGACAAAATCATTTGTGTTGAGAATCTGTAGTTTTGCAGACCAAAGTTGAGGCCTGGTCAAAAAGAGGGCTCAGAGGATCCTGCCCGGAGTTTGGTCAAGGAAGGAATGTTTCTCACTGTGCAAGACATGTTATTTTATTTTCACATTTTAAAAATTTTATTTGTCAACGACCACTATCTGGGTAATGGGCACACTTGCAAACATGACTCAAGCATTATAAAAATGATCCATGTAACCAAAAATATTTATACCCCTTTAATATTTTGAAATTTAAAAAAATTGTCAGAGCCCTTTAAAGGGGCAGCCTTGCAAAAATAACAGGAAAATGCCCAAACCCACAATTTCCCCAGTAACAGCTAAAGATCAGTCCTATGAGTTCTCTCACTAACAGATACCCTGCAGGGGTTCTGTTTTGCACAACTTCTGAAAAGAGCTGAATGGACTGAAAAAAGATGTTAAATCTCTTTCTTTCAAAATTGTCTCTCTTTTTTTAAGAATCTGCCTTTTTACAGTCTAAAGAGTTCCTGAGCCAACAGCAGGGTACAAGCTCTAAGACTCAACCATAACTTGAGTACAGAGTCATATTTCCTGTAGTAACTAACTCCTTCTCCAAGGAAAGGCAGGAAGCCAGCAATTGGACTTTGACATCCTCACAGTTTTTGTTATCTACCTGCCATCAAGAAGAAATGAAGGAGTGAATACAGCAGTTTCTTGACTGAACCCTGCCATTTTTACAACCCCCTTTAAAAACCTCAATAGCTAGTTTTCCAGGCCAGCACATTCTTCTTCTTTCCAGCTCTGTGCTGGTCCTTTTCCTGGGGCGGGGGAGGGGGGATAAATAAACCTCTTCTTCCTATCCTAATCTCGGCGTGAGAAATCTTTCTCGACTTGCCTGGTGAGCACCTGCTAAACTTTGCACCTTAGCATCCTTGTTCCTTCATCTGTAAAATGGGAATATTATTAATAACACATCAGGCAGCTCTTGGGAGCATCTAACATAGCTCTGTCTAATACAAATATAAACAAAGCCTCATATGTTCAATGTCTTCATAGCCACCTTAAACAAAAAAGCAAAAATAAACAGGAAAAACTAATGGTGGCAATATATTTTATTCACCCCAATATATTCAAAATATGATCACTTCGACATATGATTAACATTAAAAAACTACAGGGATATTATTTTATATCCTTGTTTTTGTTCTAAGCCTTTGAATTCCGGCATGTATTTCACACTAGCTGCACCTCTCAGTTCGGACCCGGCACATTTCTGGTGCTCAACAGCCACTTGCGACGACCGTCTCAAACAGCCGCGGTTGAGGGTGGGCGGGTCTTAGCCGGATGGGGGCGGAGCTTCTTGGAGAGCGCTCTTTGGGCCCCATCGGCTGCCGTAGGAAAGCGCCCGCCGCGGCGGCGCCACGTCCCTGGCGGCGGCGGCGTGAGAAGAGTCGGGGAATTGGACACTGAGCGGCTCCCGACGGCCATGGCCTTTACCTTGTACTCGCTGCTGCAGGCAGCGCTGCTCTGCGTCAACGCCATCGCCGTGCTGCACGAGGAGCGATTCCTCAAGAACAGTGAGTCGGGCTGCTGGGCGCGGGCTGAGGTGGCGGGGGCGCGGCCGCCGGGGGCGCGGACACGAGCCTGGCCGCGTGAGGGGACATCCCCGGCCGGGACCGACGAACGGCCGAGGGTTTGTTTCCGAGTGAGGAGGGGACACTCTCTTGGAGGGGAAGCCGAGCCTTTCATCTCACCGGGTTCGAACTCAACTGCGGGTTGCACATTCGGCAGACGGCCACGGAGTGCGAGGCCCCGGGGGCCGGGCTGGGGCAGTACGGAGGTGACCCAGGGACGCCCCTGTCTGCTATTAGGTTAGGTCAGTAACTAAATTGGATTTTCTTTGTGACTGCTTTTAACGATCGAAAACTCAGGGTCTGAGCTTTGAGTTAAAGAGTTGGGGGCAGGGGGCGTGGCTCATTTTGGAGCTTTGCTAGAAGAGTGAAAAGGTTGAGGGCCATAGAGGTTCCTGGGCTTTGGGGATAATAGGAAAAGCAAAGTGTTGGAGTTAGAATATCCAGCCACCCATGTTCCAAGAAAAGTTTCTTCACACAGCTTATTGGGTGCCTACAAAGTGCCAAGGACTGCTAGAATCTCGGAATACAAAAACGAAGACACAAGTTGTGCCTACCAGGACAATCCAGCAATCGCCATTCCATCCCATGCGGGCTGCATTTTGCTATTTGAGGCAAAGTGGAGGCAGGATACTGCATGATGAGAATCGTTTGTCACAGTATATCAAATATCTCTGTGTGAATCACTAAAACTCAAACCCACGAACAAGATTGATTCATTTCATTGATTACTTCAGAAGAGATTTATTGAGCACGAATTATGTGCCAGGCCCATGTTATTAGGCACTGAAGTTAGAGCAGTCACCCTACTTTTCCAATGGAAGTTCATTTAAATAAAAACTGAACAGATAACAATAAGTATGCAGAATATTACGAAAAAGAAGTGCAGGGAGATATAATCTGTGAATCCGCAAAAGTTTCGTGGAGGAAATGTATCAAACTTGAAATCTGATAAGTGAATGAACGTTAACTAGGTGAAGGGTTAGGAAAAGTTGGAAGGTTAAGGATCTTGAGCGTTAAACAGTATAGAGCTGGTGTAAAAAGTCTGAGGCAAGTGAAAACAGGGTCTTAAACAAGGCAGTAATGTGACCAGATTTGTGTTATTTGCAAGATCCTTCTGGAGAACAGATTGGAAGAGAGGAGTGGATGTGGAAAGAACTATTCTAAATAGGGCAAGTAGAGACAGGTAGGTGTTCTAACAATAATAATAACTAATACTTAAGGTAGCACTATGTGCAGGATCTGTATCAAGTGCCTTATATGTATTAATTGATGTAATCCTCACAGTAACCCTATGAGATGGTTACAATTTTTGTCCCCACTTTCCAGTGGGGAGCCAGAAACACAAAGACAGTAGTAGGTGAGTAGACAGCTTTTCTAAGATCACATAGGTAGAAAGTGGTGAAGGTAGGATTCAAACTTAAACAATCTGACTCCAGAGTCCATCTCTTCATCATTATATTATACAGAAAAGAAGAAGGGATCATGTCCTAACCCTTGGTACCTATGAACGTGACTTTATTTGGAGGCAGAATCTTTGCAGATGTAATCAGTTTAAGGTTATGCTAGATTAGGTTGGGCCTTAAATCCAATAACTGGAGGAATCCTTATAAGGAGAGAGACATAAAGAGACACATGGATGCACACAGAAGACCACCTGACAACTGAGGCAGAGATTGGAATGATGCAGCTATGAGCCAAGGAACAAGGATTTCCAACAACTGTCAGATGTTAGGAAAGAGGCATGGACTAGATTATCCCTCAGAGCCCCCAGAAGAAACCAACACAACTCACGCCTTGATTTCAGACTTTTGGGCTCCAGAATTATGAAAAAATTTCTGTGTGTTAAGCCGCCTAGTTTGTGGTGCTTTGGTTTGGCAGCTCCAGGAAGCTAATACAGATCAGAAGATATTTTAAAAGTAGAAAAGGTAGAACTTACTGTTGAACATTGGGAATGAGAGAGTATAAAGTCAAAGATCTCTTGGTTCTCTGGCTTAAGTAACTTCATAAAGGGTAGTGCCTTTAATAAGTTATAGAATATTAAAGGAAAATTAGGGGTGATGGTAGTAGACGAGGTGAAGAGATAATGAAATAAGTTTTGGATATCCCAAGTTTGAGATTTCTGTGAGATAGACAAGTGCAGATGTAAAATAGTTAGTTGGATTTAAGTCCATAGAACAGAAGCATAAACCAGGGTGGAGACTGAAATTTGAATTTGTCAAGCATAGATGATAAATGAAACCATGTAAGAAGATGAAATTTCTCAGGGAAAGGAGAGCACAAAAAGGAGAGTACTGCAGCATGAACTCCTAAGCTCAAGCATTCCTACCTCAGCCTCCCAAGTAACTGGGACTACAGGCATGGGCCACTGTGCCTGACTAATTTTTCTTTTTTGTAGATGTTTCACTATGTTGCCCAGACTATTCTCGAACTTCTGGCCTCAAGTGATCCTCCCACTTTGGCCTTCCAGAGTGCTGGGATTACAGGAGTGAGCCACCTGCCTGGCCAGTATATTTCCTTGCCAGAGAGAGGGAAAAGGAGAGAGAAGTAGATCCAGAAGTAGGAGAGGGTGATGTTGCCTGGGCAGGATGCAGGTGTATCTTGTGTCCTCGATTCTACAGTGCATGTTAGTTCACATTTTAGCACTTCTGAAATTGTTTTTAGCTTGGATAGATGTGTATGTTGAATATTGGAGAATTTCTTCCCCTCACCCCCAAAAGTACCATTGAATGATTGGTTCATTTTATAATTCATTTGTCTTAAAAATTATGAATAGAGTTCTTTGTAAGTCTCATCTATGATTCTAGAAATTACCTTATTTTACCTTATCCTAGATTAATTCGTTCTACTATAATTCAGTTAATTCCAGAAACATTTGCTGAGTACTTACTGTGGGATGAGGAGTGGGAAAGAGTGAAGAGGTGAAGAAAGATGGCTAAATTGCGTTCCCTGTTCTCCAGGATTTTGTAATCTAATGGGAGACACTTCAAAACAACTAACCAAGAAGGAGAACAAAGTCGCTGCATTCAGTGGATTGTTTGGGGAGCAAAGAGGAAAAAAGATTTATTCTGACATGTGGAAGGAAATTAGGAAAGGCACTGACATTGAAGTCAGACCTAAATTAGAAACTGCTTTTCACATGTACAGCAATAAGTGGGTAACTGACTGTGAATAGGAATACTTGGTGGGAGGTGGGGGGTAAGATACAAGGGTAGAATGTCAATTTAAGGAGTTTGGACTTTATTCAGTAGGCCATGAGAATCATCACAGGATTATGAGATAGAAATATCTGACCCTTTAAAGAAGAAAACTCAAAAAGCTGAGAGAGCAAGGTTACAGAGACATCTATTGAAAGAGTCTTGCAAGTCTCACAGCAGAGGCTGTGAGAATAACTATGATGGTTGTATTAATACCATGGAAGCTCAAAAAAGAGCAACACCCCTGTGGACTGGAAGGGCTGGAAGCAGAACCTGAGCCTGGGTCTAGTAGGGTGAGTAGGAGTCAAAAAACATCAGCTCTATTGTGAACTTGAATTTTAAATTAGTTTTATACCACAACATATCTCAGTGACAAGACCAAAGAAACCCAAAAACACCCAAGCAACCACTATTTAGCTATTATTTCAACCAAATAAAAGTTGATTAAACAAAGTGAAATCTTATTTCCTGATACTTGGTTCTTTTATGTGTAAAATAAAGACTTGTTCTCTATCCATGGTTTAAGGGTTAGCATGTCAGGAATTAATTAAGCCCTGTAATCATATGAGATAGTGAAAAGTGGACCTGAAATGAGGACAAAAGAACAAGTTACAGAAATGAGGACATGTAAGTCTTTAGAAAAATGTATAAGGCAATAGAAAAAGAACTAGCATAAAAGATAAAGAAATGATTTGTAATAGCATAGGGAAATGACATAGAAGGTAAAAGATTCATTTACAGAGAATAAGGGGTAGAGGGCTAAATTTCTCACTTCAAAAAAGAGGGGAAGATGTGTCCTGCTGGCAGGCTAGAGTATGCTGAGAAGGCCTAATCAAGCTGTTACAGGTTGGGATCATAATCCCAAAAAACACACTCTCAAACACCATAATCCCAAATGTTGAAATCCTGAGAGATCAGAATCCCTCAACATCTAAAATCCTGAAAAGTCACAGTCCCAAAAGATTAAAATCCCAGGTGTTAAAATCCTGAAAATCAAATTCTGTTGGAAGAGATCAGTGCATTTTCAGGAGTATGCAGGATAGTTACATTGTGTTTGTTGCAGCATGTTAGGTGGAATTATTACCTTGTTTTTTCTTTATTTGCATTTCGCAGAAAATTCAGAAGAGTGGATTGGCCACAAGATACGGCAATGGTGATAACTTCAGTTTAAAAATGTCATTTGCCTGTATTGGCTTTCCTTCCAGCTGATGGCATTCCAGGGGCTTTTAATGAATTAAAGCCTCATTTGCCTGAGGAAGCCAGCAAAGCTACTCACTGGTTTGGAAATAATTATGCACATGGGAGGATAAGAAAGACATGCAGTGGTGTTTCTGTTTGATCACCAGTATTGTGGTCTGTATATGAGTTCATGTGGAATGAAATTCTAAGTACCCAAAATGACACAGAAGCATGGCACAGAAAATGGAAAAATTTAATAGGGAATGCTCATGCTGATGTATATCAAATCATAGAATAATTTCAAAAAGAGCAGTACCACATAGAAAATGAATGTGAATGTCTTTTCAGAGAAGGGCTATGTCCTAAATGAAAAAAAGCAGCTATTCTTTTTTTCTTTTTTTTGAGATAGTGTCTCACTGTGTTGCCCAGGCTGGAGTGCAGTGACATCATCATAACTCACTGCAACCTCATAATTCACTGCATCATCATAACTCACTGCAACCTCAAATTCCTGGGTGCACCAATACACCCGGCTACTTTCTGAGTTTTTTTGTAGAGACATGTTCTCACCATTGCTCAAGCTGGTCTTGAATTCCTGGCCTCAAGTGATCCTCCTGCCTCAGCCTCCCAAAGTGCTAGGATTATAGGCATGAGGACATGTAAGTCTTTAGAAAAATGTATAAGGCAATAGACAAAGAACTAGCATAAAAGATAAAGAAATGATTTGGCCACTGCCCCTGGCCAAAAAGCAGCTATGCATTGAGATATAAGACTTCAAAATATAGTTAACGAACATGAAAGTTGGCCAGTTTTTATGGACTATTTCCATAAAATTGCCCATAATCTACCCCTGTAATAACATGTTTTCATATGTTAAATTTTAGTTGTTTTCTTTTTCTTCTTTTAGATTTTTTTTATTATTTTAAATTTCCGGCATTATTTTTTACAATTCCCTAAGCTATATATTTCATCTTTGCACAATTCCAATACTAGAGGTATAAATTGTGTGGAGACTTTCAGAGAGTTCTAATTTGTTTTATGTAGTTTTTGCAAGTTTGATTCCACGAAAGTGCATTATCACAATGTTGTATTTATGTGTAAGCATGGTACATGTATATAAAAATGTTGCAATTTCCTCAGTAAATGAAGAGATATCATTTTTGTACAACTGCATTTGTAAAAGATAAAATTTCTCAAGATCTCAGCTTTTTGAGTGACTACATATACTGTGGTGACCCATTGCAGTTTTTGATTAAGCTCATCAAAAGAGTTAGGTTGTTTGTCCTTATATTTCAGATGACCACAGTTATAAAGCTGGGTGCACACAATTACAAACCATAGTGATGTACATTTATACATTTCCCTTTTTGACCTACTTATGAATACTTATAAGCATGCGGCTGTCAGTAGTATACCTGAGTGTTTATGCTTACAAAAATATGTTTATTATTACCTGTTTTATTGTGTTAAGTGGCCTATGAAGTGTTCTGTTGTGTTTCTGTTTCTCAAACACGTCACCTTTAAAAATGTAAATAAACATTTTTTAAAGAATTTTAAAAATTATTTTTCCAGGATTTTGATCTTTCTGGATTGTGACTTTGGGGATTTTAGACTTTAAGGATTTTGGTTTTTGGGGATTATGATTAACTACCACTATGAACAACGATTACATTAAAAGTTTCCCTAATTCATTTGGAAAATGATTCTCAGCTATAGCATTTTTATACTAAAGATTATTTTGCATTTTATGAATTCTAAACTGAGCTAATTAATTATATAGTTTGATAATATGCTTTGGTTTTCAGTTGTGACCTGATAAATATTTTGTTTGATACCTTTAAAAAGGAGGGAAAAATGGTGTCACAGTGGTCACCTTCCTTAAATTAAATGCCATGGAATAATTTAGACTAATTTATTTTTATAAAATTAGAGAGTAAATGAAGTGAAATGAGGTCATTGCTGCTATCAAAAGTAAAAAAAAATTTTTTTAACTTAATATTGTTTTAACTTTTCTTATTAATATTAAGTCATATGACTTTATATTTTATGTCAAGGGCTCAAACTAATCTTTTAAAAGATGACTAATGAGAGAATAAGGCGAATGCATAATAAATTTTAACACAGCTAATCATCTTTATGTTATACAGTTGGCTGGGGAACAGACCAGGGAATTGGTGGATTCGGAGAGGAGCCAGGAATTAAATCTCAACTAGTGAACCTTATTCGATCTGTAAGAACTGTGATGAGAGGTAAGAAAAACTAACACAGCACTCTTAAGTTAATTTTATGGTTCAGTTTAAGTAGCAAACCTTCTAAGTGAATACTATCACATACCCTTTTTGTAGTGGGAATCTTTTTTTCCTCTTTAACATGGCTTTACTGCTTGAAAGTTACTGGCTTTTTTCTCAGTTTGCCTCTCCTTTCTAAGCCAGTCGGTACAGATAGAATGTTTAGTGGTGTAATCTGTGTGTTACCTAGAGCTGAAAAACATAGCGATATTCTTGCCTTTTGGAAATTCTATTGCTTCCAAGTTATAAAGCCACATAGAGCATTGGAAGGCTTTCAAGAGAAAAATAAAGGACTCATATCTGCTAATCTAGTGGAATAACATTTTCAAGCAATTCAAGAAAGAAGAGTTCAAAACCTTTTATTTAAGACCATTAAATTATAACCTCTTCTCTCTTTATCACAACGTTGTATACAATTTTAAATAAATTCATTCTTAATTTAGTGATGAAGGTACAAAATTGTCTTTGCACTGTATTTCTAATCTCAAGTGTCACGGCAGCCACGTGGGCCTGGGTCCAATGTGCTTCTGTGTTCCCAGAGTTGCACCAGCACCATCCACAGATGTTTCACATTGATTTAGTTGTGCCAGTATGACCTTCATTCCCAGTTACCTTTTTAAAATAAATTTTGGATTTTATGATGTAGTGTATTTTTTTTTTTTGAGACAGAGTCTCATTTTGTTGCTCAGGCTAGAGTGAGTGCCGTGGCGTCAGCCTAGCTTACAGCAACCTCAATCTCCTGGGCTCAAGTGATCCTTCTGCCTCAACCTCCCAAGTAGCTGGGACTATAGACATGAGCCACCATATCTGGCTAAATTTTTTTTTTTTTTGGTATATATACTTTTAGTTGGTCAATCAATTTCTTTCTAGTTTTGGTAGAGATGGGGTCTCGCTCAGGCTGGTTTCGAACCCCTGACCTTGAGCGGTCCGCCCACCTCGGCCTCCCAGAGTGGTAGGATTACAGGCGTGAGCCACACACCGGCCTGTAGTGTATTTTTTAATGTTCCTCTCTTGTAACTATGTACAACATGTTTATGATGTTGATACGATAATTCCATCCTTCTTGGATGCTAGTAACTATTGCTTAATTTTTTTCCTGCCTATTTTTTTTTATAGTAACAAATTGTTTTTTTTCTTCCTTTGCAGTGCCATTGATAATAGTAAACTCAGTTGCAATTGTATTACTTTTATTATTTGGGTGAATATCAGTGGAGGAAATGGAGACTCAGAAGAAGAGATGCCAACAGAAGTTATTACTTTGGAATATTCATATCTTAGCAGGCTGACCTTGCACTTGACAAAAATGTAAAGCAGACAATAAAACCAGAGTTCCTATTTATCTGATTTTTTTTTTTAATGTTGCACTTGTATTTTCATTATAAAAAGATCAGATGATCAGAGGTAGTAACTCTCCAGGACTGGAATACATTTGATTGCTGACTGTTAATAATAATTTATGCTTAGTAAAGATTGTTAAAAGGGTACAGGACTGTTGCTTCTGTTTTTTTTTTTAGATATTTTTCTATCTCTCACTTCTCAGGGATGAATTTTTTTTTTACAAAGTTTTGAAGTTCCTTGTGACTTAGCCATGACATGAGAATCATTATCCCCCTGGATAAAATTTAAAGGATTTAAAAAAAATAATTTATACAAAATAATGGGCAATTTGGATAATTTTATTTTTAAATCTTTGGTTAAATATTTTGTGTATAATCTCAGCTATGAAGAATTCAAATTTATAGATACTATTGAGGAGTAATACTCTCTGATTTCAGGGAGAATTCTAATTTTGTAAGTCACAGTCACATGATTGTGTTTTTAAGTTCTTTTCATGTATTTGTTATTTTATTAATTGGTCTGAATATTGAGACCAGACCAATATCAAAATATTTTCAGTGGTAGAAAATCTAGAAAAATCTGTGCCCTTTTTACAATTATGGCTTTTTAAAAAAATCAGCATAAATATTAGCCTGTAAGAGTAATCTTAAACAATCACAATTAAACTCTACTACATAAGAAGATAGTTTATTGTGAAGCATTTACCTCCCCCCAAAATTATCATGTTTCCATTTCTTGGTGGAGTAGCACACTGAAGGATGTGATCCTTAATTCTTCATTCTCTCTGTCAATAGCACATTCATGCTGGATAAGTTGGTTTTTATTTGCTTTGTTTTTATGCCGTAGACCATCTTGTGAGATTGTTTGCCCATCCCATATTACAGTTTTATGCAGAAAGGTTGGAACTATGTAAATGGATTTTGTGGAAATTATCAAATATAATATTTTAAAAGGGTTGAATGGCATCTTTGTTTATAGAATATTTGTAAATAAAGTTGGATTTCCAAGTCAAGCACATGTGTACCTTAGTATAAACCTGTTCATGTTGACTGCATTAATCTCCATTTTGTGTATAACACCTCTTATATATATGTTCTTTGCTATAAAACTGCTGAGTACAGATTTAATGAAAGTAAACATTCACATCCATTTTTTTTCTTCAGCAAATTAACTAAATTGGTGACATCCAGAGGACTCATGAGCAACTTTCATTCCATGACTTTAAGTTACTTCTAAAACTATGTAGCAGGATTGAATACCTGTTGGCCATGCCTGAGTTGGAGATGGATGATCTCTGGGCTGTAGGCTTACAGCTGGGCCAAGGAAATGTACCTGGAATTCTAGTTAATTAGTTGGCTTATATGGGTGACTAACATATTTTAGTACTTAAAGGCAATTTTTTTTTTTTTTTTTTTACCAGAGCTGATGCACAAGTTCAAGTTTGAGCCACTGAACAGATTCAAAAGCAGCAGTTAAATGGGAGGGCACTCCCATTTCTCCACATGCTATGTATGAGCCATACAAAATTTTAAAAAGAAAAGAAGACCTTGGTCTGACATCAGTTTTTACATAAGATATTATAGCATTCCTTCATGTTAATTTAATGTTGGGATAGTGTCCAAGTCCACACTTCCCTGGGGAGCAGTCACAGAAGGGCACATAATCTGGAAGCCACTTACACAATTTGAGTCTTAATGTGGCTGAAAGGAGGTCTGTGAGCTTTCACAGGTTACCCCTCATTTCCCCAGAGCAGTTCTGATTCAGTAACCTTAGTATTTTATTTTAGTAACAATAACTTAACTGCCTGCCTGCTTGCCCACATCCTCCCCTTCTTTCATTCTCAGAATTAACAATTTGTGATCATTCTGGACTCAGCTATCCATGATGTTTATGGTCCTTATGTATTCTGGCCCTACATCTGCATGCCTCTCAACTATTGTGAAGGATCTTGGCTCTAGTCTATAAAAGCCAAATTTGTACCCTAATCCTTAATCGAGTATAATGGTTTTCAAGCTTCTGATTGACAACAGAACCAGACTGTCAAAGGAATTCTAACACAGAACTAATAATTCAATATCTAAGACAGGTAAAAGTAGGTCCATTTATGTATTTATTTTAGTTAAAGCAGGGCTAGGACCCAAAGGCTTGCTGTTCAGCCTCCACCTAACTCTTGTCAAACTTCTCAAAGCATTTCCACAAAACCCTAAATTTTCAAAAACATGACTATAAAGTATGTTTTTAAATCCCTGCTTTAGATACAGTAAGAGTGGGCAATTTGATGTGTGCCCTGTAGGTGTAGGTAGTTACTTGTGTTTTTATGTGTATATACTCCAATGACTTAGGAGAAAGCAATGTATCTGAATAGTAAAAAATAAGAGGCAGGATATTCTCATTACCAAACAAAACCTTTTATCATGTGACTTAAGGCAAATAAACTTCCTAAGACCTCAGTGGTTTTTGGCTGCCTCTTCTTTAAAACTGGCCAATAACTGTTTCAGAACAGAAATCTGGTCCAGATTATTTAGATATCTTTTCCAAATCACTAACCTTTGATTATTCTAGGTGTACCTCAACCAAAGAGATGTTCTACGGAAGTAAAATGTTTTTGGTGAAGTAAATGATTTTCTCATTGATTTATTACTTGCAAAGCTATTACCAACAAAGTATTACCATTTTGATACTAATCAAAATGAAATTCTTTTTGCTAAAATTTTCGGTCTCTCATTGGTCATTAGAGGTCTGATTGTGAAAATATAGTGGGCAATGTCCATAGATATTAATAATCAAGGTAACTTTTGGAATCCTATCATTAGTGTTTCAGTTCAGACACTGCTTTCTTTATGTCTTCACTCCTCCTTTGGGTTTTTTGCCCCATTTTTTTTTCCAAATTTAGCCCCTCCCTTTTGAGGTCCCATTCCTTCTGTACTCATCTTACCTTTGAGTCAGCAGAATCATTTGACGAATCTTTTGGTGAGGAGAAAGTGATTAGTCCTGTCTATAATTCCACATAACAGTGAACAACACCATAAGTTACACTACCCAATTGTCCAAGCCTGGTAATTATTAATATATATATTTTTTTGAGATAGAGTGTTTTGCCATCTCCCAGGCTAGAGTGCAGTGTTATGATCATAGCTCACTATAACCTCAAACTCCTGGACTCCAGTGATAGTCCTGCCTCAGTCACCCAAGTAGCTAGGACTACTGGCTCACTGGGTTTGGGGTCTGGATGTTTCCAAGAATGGACATAACTTAAAGATTAGGTTCCAGACATTCCTTTATCCTATATTTGTGATGGGGAAAGTCACCGTTTATGGTGTTTTTTGATTGGCGGGCTCTGTTCCAATTAACCCATTCTTTTCAATGGGATCCAATTAACCTATGGCGGGCTCTGTCTAACCCATTCTTTAAGACTGAAATAACTGTTTTTCCCTGGTTATTTTTCTGTAACTATTTCCCTCTTATTTTAACTGTTCCCTCCTTGTTTTTCTGCTTCTATCGTAACATTATCTCGTTTTTCTTTCCCTAACATTCCATTACCTCTTGTTTTTCTGTCCCTAACAAGCCCTCCTCCTGACTGGGCTAATAAAAGGAAAAATCCAAGAAGTCAGAGAGTAGTGAGTGATCTGTCTCCACTTGCAGAGACAGACCTGTTTTATTCTACAATAAAGAACTGCTCTTGTGAAACTGCTCCCTGCCTGAGGTTACTCCATTGTACTGGCCTTGCTGATGATTTTTTCCAAGGAAGGAGTCAGAGGACCAGGATACCAACCTGGATCTGACACTTTAGTGTTTGGTCATTCTTCGGCCAAGAGCACACCAAGAACAGACTTCCACCCTGACATCTGTGGTGCTAAAACCCGAGATTCTGACAGGCATTGGATGGTGTTCCCTTAGCATGTGGCTCCCCAGCCAAGGGCAGAGCAGCGGTTTTATCAAGGGGTTCCATAAGTGTAACCAAAGTGTGTATCCTATTAAATCAGACTGCTCCAAAAGTTCATTTAGTCATTTTCATAGTGAGTACCTAAGGATGACCATCTCTGCATTGAATTTAAGTCCAAATAACTTACCTGGATCAAGAAGAGACAAGTAGAGACCCCTCCCCCCATATGTGTGTGGGAGGGGGTGTAGGGCAGGTGGTTCTAGATATAGCTGTACCTATAGGCCTGCAATAGCTCTGTCCGGGAGAGAGGCCGGGTGGGAAACCACAGCCTAAGGGTTAGGAATAGCTGATGCATGAAAGGAGGGGCCTCTCACCTGAGGTACTGGTCAACGGAAAAAGCAGTAAGTGCCAGATGCTAGTCATGAAGCTAAAGAGGAAACGCTGAGGTTGAGAGATTTGAAGGAAAGTGTAACTTCTGAGTTACCCCTCGGGATGGATAAGAAGTGGTGGAAGGAGAGAGGGTGGAGAGAAAGAAAGCTACTCAACAGCACTTGGTCCAACAATGGTGCTGTGGAATGGAAAAGAGATACTGAGCGAAGGCAGAAGTTTTTGTTATTCCTCGTGCATCTCGGCCTAGCAGGCCGAGCCCTTGCAGGAGGAAGTCTCAAAAAGAACTTCCTTTGCTCCTCAGTTAGCGGTGCAGAAGCAGGGCAGGAGCTGGACCGGATAGGGGTGTCCAACCCAGCCCTGGTGAGAAACCCGAGCGGAGGTGGTGTTGGGAAAGGCGGGCTTCCGTGTGGCTCGGCCATTTCCGGTGTCCATCAGACAGCTTGGTGCGCCCTAGGCCGGCTGCGAGGAGACTGCGGGTGCCGCTGGTTGCTGGCTTTCCTGAGAACGGCGTGCGGAGTGGGGGTGAGGAGCAGCTCTAGGACGAAGAGGAAGAACGGAATTGGGACGGTGGCCGCACGCCTGTGTGAAGGCTGCATCTTTCGTGACAGGACGCGGGAGTACGTGCGCGTCCCTCCCGCGGGGCACGAGCCAACCCACGAGCTTGCTCTGTGAGGACTGCCCGCCCCCGCGCGGGGCCACTGCGCGTGCGCAGAGCGGGCGCTGGGCGCTTCCACCGGTGGCGGGGTGGGTGGCGCTGTGGCTTATCCAGCGGGGGCGTCCTGACTCCGGCGTGTAGTCACTTCTGAAGCGTGCCCCTGGACTGTATTTCGAAGCTAGCGTCTCTCCTGGTCAGTCTGGTGTTTGCCAGACCGTGGAACCTGGGCTTGGACAGAGTGCAGCGACCAGTCCTGAGGCTCCTTTCCAAGAGGTGGGGGATGGAAATTGAGTTGTGCAGATTTGTTCTTGATTCCTTTCTGCTCTAGGACAGGGATCATGAGTTTAGTTAATTCAGAGCCTTTATCGACGCCTCAACAACACAGTGGAAAGGCAACACGCCCTTCCATGCACAGAGCGCAAGGTTTAGCAGGAGAGATGCGGGCAGGTCGCCGGGAGAGCACTAAGTGTAAGGGAGCACTGGAGGCTCCCAGAGCAAAGGAGTTGGATTGAGGCAGCACACCAGAGGCCAGGATGCTTATCTGAGACTGAGGCCTGAAGGAGTTTGCCAGGGACAGGAGGCGTAGGGGGTGGGAGTGGTAGAATTAGGCCTTCTAATTTCAAGATTGTTCTTTTTTAAGCGTCAAAAGAGGCAGGAAAAGCTTCATCTTCTCTGCTGCACCTCTTGATAAAAGGATTTGTTTTGTAAAATTGGGTTCAATCAAAAGGATTCAGAAGGCCACATGTAGCCTCACAAGGCCGCAGGTTTCCCCACCTATGTAGGAGGCACTGGAAGAATTTTTCACTGGGAATTGACTAAATAATAACATCATTTATTGGGTGCATGCAGTGGTTCCAGAAAAGTCTAGAGCCACATAGGGAAGGAAAGAGAATTTGTATGGGGGGGTAGGCATATTCTGATTCTGAGGAGCCCCAATCTCCAGTGAAAAATTTGTAATACAAATCTGTTTTAGCTTAAGTATTTACACAAGTTTTGAATTATATGCACAATAGATTTGATACGTTTCTCAAATCCTCAAGTTGATACTATGCTTTAGGAATTTGCACTGTGATTTTTATAGTCT